AAGGCCATACTTGAGGACCTAGAGGCTAGAAGGGATGTCTAAAACCTTCAAATCCAACTCCCTCATTTTACAAAAATAAGAGAACAATTTATTTAAAATAAAGCTTCAGGGTAGCTAAACAGGAAAATACAATAAAATAGCAAACTCTTTTCCTACCTGTTTCCCAAACAACCCCCTAACTTTTGGAAATAAAAATTCCCACTTGGTCCAGACTGTCCTCATTTCACCTTATTGCTATCGTCTTAGTACTCAAGCTAGAAGAGCTAGCCACTGGACCCTCCGATGATCACTACAGGTACTCTTTCTGGATGTCTGGGTCATCGTTCCCTTTTGCCACTAGGCTCATGGGTCTTCAGGATTCCACTACAGCTGTTTGCCCCAGCCTGGAAGGGGTGAGGTATCACAGAGCTATAAGAATGCAAGAATGCATCAAAGTCCAATCCAGCGGCTGGGAGATGTCAGTGGGTCACCATGGGTGCTGTCACATTGATTCCCAGAAGCTGAGCATCAGGAGAGGGTGTGGGGGAGGATCCATGATGGTTCTGACAGGAAGAGGCTTGGCCCAGAGGGAACCCTGGCCTCTGTGGCCATCTCCTTTTCCTCTACCTTCCTCCATCTGTCTCCTTCCTAATCCTGATCTCCCCAGTTTTTAGTGTCCTTCCCAGGAAGGGGGAATAATTTCCCCAGGATATTACTTTGTATGTACATGATGGATATAATCAAAGGATTCCCCCACAACTCACTGGCTCTAGTCATGAATCACACCTTGGAGCTGATTCCCTTTCAGTGACATATTTACCCTGTTGGCCTCTTCTGATGTCCCATATGTGCTAGTTCAGTGCTGAAAGACTTGGGGATGATGCAGAAATTCTTTTGGTCTCCTTGGCAACATCTGGGGAGAAAGGCTGTATCAAAGAATTCTGCCCTTTGGCATTCTTCCTTCCTTCCTCGCTCACACTTACCATGGGGGTGGAGGAAGGGTGACTTTCCCAGCCTGACAGAAAGGTCCACTGCTTCTATGTGACAGATAGAGCGAGGACTCTGCTAAGCAAGCTTGAGCCTAGTCCTTGGGCCTCTGCATCCTTTCCTGACGCATTTCCTCCCCTGAACATAGGTGACAGGACAGTGATCCTGAAAGAGACATTTCCAAGTTGGGTGACAACCTCATGGGTTTGAGAATTCAGGGCTCTTGGGTCCTTCAGCTGGCATACTATAGGAGATGCCTGCTACAGGGAGGGAATTCATGGCAGGGCATGAGGGGAAGGGACGGAAGCATGAGCAAAACCTCTAAGGTCGAGAATCCCAAGAAAGTTTGAGAGACAAGTAGACCCGTTTCACTGTAGCTCTGGGTACAATTAGGATAGTAGTGGGAAATAAAGCTGGAAAGATAAATTCCTGAGGGCCATTGCAGAATCTCTTTCCAGGAGAATCTTTGGATCATAAATCTCTAGCTGGAAGAGACTGTTGAGAGCATCAAACTAACTCATGTTACAGAGCCCAGGTCCTCTGACTGAGGCAATGAGGCAGTGCTGTGGACAGAGCATTAAGCCTGTAGTTAGGAAGTCCTGAGTTTATATCTGACCTCAGAGACATTTACTAGCTATGTGACCCCAGGCAAGTCGCTTAACCTGTTTGCCTCAGTTTCCCCAACTATAAATGGGGACAATAATAGCACCCATCTCCCAGGGTTGCTGTGAGGATCAAATGAACAAATAATCACAAAGCACTTAGCATAGTGCCTGGCTGTATAATACATAAATCATACATAGTACATAGCACATACTTAATACATAGGTGTTTCCTTCGTTCTTCTAATTCTAAATCCATCATTGTTTCTGCTATACCATATTGTAAAAGGTTTTTTAAAGTTAAAAAAAATTAACTTTTTTTTTTGGTATGGCAATTGGGGTTAAGTGACTTGCCCAGAAAAATTAACATTTAAGTAGAATTTTGTGCTTTGCAGGGTATTTTACATACCTCACAACAACCTAGTGAGTCAAGTACTAGCATCATTTTACAGATGAGGAAACTGAGGCTCAGTTCTCTCCCCTCTACCCCATAGCTGATCACTTAGCAAGTCTTGTTGGTTTTAACTTAGCATCTCTTGCCACTGTCTGTCTCATTCTCTCTCCTTATATGACCAGTAACCTAATTCCCATTTCTCCCCCAGACCATTACAATAACCTCCTATTTGCACTAGCAGCTTCCAGTTTCTCAATTCTCCAATCCATCTTCCACATATACAGCTTCCAAAATAATTTACCTAAAGCACGTCTGACCAACACACTTTCCTATACAATCTTCAGTGGCTCCCTATTTCTTTAGGATAAAATACAAACTTCTCACCTTGACATTTATCCTTCACGTTCTGGTCCAGACTACTTTTACTGATTTCTTTACTTTAGTCTCCTTCCTGCACTCTGTTAAGTCAGTCAGTAAACACGTAAGTGCCTACTGTGTGCCACGTGTAGTGCTAAGTGCATGGGATAAGAAAAAAAAAGACAAAAAACCAGTTCCTTTCAAGGAGCTCACAATCAAAGGGAGATACAACATGTAAACAACTATGTGCAAACAACTATGTACCTACAAGATAAATTGGGGATGGTCTCATGCATATAAAATCTTGGAAGTCAAATTTAAAAACCTGGATTTTATCCTGCAAATGATTAAAAAAAAAAATGAAAACCACTGAAAGTTTTTGAATGGGAGAGCTAAGTGGTGTTTCATTATGATTAATTCATATTAACTATCATTCATAGTATTAAATGTGAGAAATAACTCACATTTCATGCAACAATCTTAAAAATTTTTTTTTAATTTTTTTATTTTTAACAAGTGTTTTTAAAACTTTGGGTTACAAATTTTCTCCCTCACTCCGTCCCCACCCACCCTTGCTGAAAAGGCAAGCATCTCGATACAGGTTATAGATGTGTAGTCATGCAAAACACTTCCATAGCAGTCCTGTTGTGAAAAACTAAGTATATTTCCCTTCATCCCATCCTATCCCGCATTTATTCTATTCTCTGTTTTGACCCTGTCCATCCTCAGAAGTGTTTGCTTCTGATTATCCCCTCCTTCAATTTGCCTTCCCCTCTATCAACCCCCTGCTCTCTTGTCCCCTTCCCCACCACCTTCCTGAAGAGTAAGATAGATTTCCATACCCCATTGTGTATGTTATTCCCTCCTTAAGCCAAATCCCATGAGAATAAGATTCACTCATTCCCTCTCACCTTCCCCCATCTCCTCTCCAATGTAAAAGTCCCTTCTTGTCTGTTTCATGTGAGATATTTTATCTCATTCCACTTCTCCCTTTCTCCTTCTCCCAGTATAATCCTCTCCCACTCCTTAACTCTATTTTCCAGATATCCTTCATCCTCAACTCACCCTGTGTCCTCTATCTATCTATCTATACAAACATATAATTTTTTCCCTCCCACTACCCTAATACTGACAAAGGACTCATGAGTTACAAATATCATCTTTCCCTGCAGGAATGTAAACAGCTCAACCCCAATAAGTTTCTTATGATTTCCCTTTCCTGTTTACCTCTTCCATGTTTCACTTGAGTCTTGTATTTGAAGGTCAAATTTTCTATTCAGCTCTGGTCTTTTCCACAGGAATGCTTGAAAGTCCTCTATTTCATTGAATGACCATTTTTTATCCTGAAGGATTATACTCAGTTTTGCTAGGTAGGTGATTCTAGGTTGTAGTCCTAACTCCTTTGCCCTCTGGAATATCATACTCCATGCCCTCCAGACCCTTAATGTAGAAGCTGCTAAATCTTGTGTTATCCTGATTGCGTTTCCACAATACTTGAATTGTTTCTTTCTGGCTGCTTGCAATATCTTCTCCTTGACCTGGGAATTCTGGAATTTGGCTACAACATTCCTAGTAGTTTTCCTTTGGGGATCTCTTTCAGGAGGTAATCGGTGGATTCTTTCAATTTCTATTTTGCCCTCTGGTTCTAAAATACCAGGGCAGTTTTCCTTGATAATTTCTTGAAAGATGATGTCTAGGCTCTTTTTTTGATCATGGCTTTCAGATAGTCCAATAATTTTTAAGTTCTCTCTCCTGGATCTATTTTCCAGGTCAGTTGTTTTTCCAATGAGATATTTCATATTCTCTTCTATTTTTTCACTCCTTTTGATTAGTGTTACAGTGACTTGATTTCTCGAATTGTCCCTCTCTTCCAATTTCTCCATTCTAATTTTTAAGGAACTATTTTCTTCAGTAAGCTTTTGGACTTCCTTTTCTATCTGGCTAAGTTTGCTTTTAAGGGCATTCTTCTCCTCATTGGTTTTTTGGACCTCTTTTGCCATTTGGGTTAGGCTATTTTTTAAGGTGTTACTTTCTTCAGTATTTTTTTGGGCCTCCTTTAGCATCACTCTAAGTTTTTCCTCTTTTTCTCTTACTTGCTTCTCAAAATCCTTTTTGAGCTCTTCTATGGCCTGGGACCAATTCAAATTTTTCTTGGAGGCTTTGGATGTAGAAGCTTTGGCTTCATTGTCTTCTTCTGGTTGTATGTTTTGATCTTCTTTGTCACAAAAATAAGATAATATAGTTTGATTCTTTTTGCTGTTCTTGCTCATAATCTCAGCCAATTACTTGAGTTATAAACTCTTTGTTATGGTAGGAATCTGTTTCCAATGTGGAGAACGTACTGTCCCAAGCTTCAGGGGTTTTGTGCAGCTGTGTTCAGAAATACTTCTAGGGACCTGTAAATTTTCAGTTCTTCCAAGGTGGTATGATCAAGGGCGAGGTGTTTACTCCTTTCCTGGCCTGTGCTCTGGTCTACGAGAACTCTTTTCTGTCTTGGAACTATGAGGAGGGTTTCCTCTCCACAGTCACTACAACCTGCACCAGGCCATCGCTCCTCCTCGCCCTAGGTCAACCACCCAGAACTGTGACCGAGATCCAAGCACAGGCAAAGCAAGAGAATCCTGCAGCAGCAGAGAGATCCTTGCAATCCCCCTCTGATCAGCCACTGGATTCCCCCTCAGTCTGTGGGCCGGGGGCTCAGGAGGGCCACTACCCTGAGGGCATGCTTGGGACTTGTGGCTGAGACCTAGCTCCTTCTCTCACCGTAGTCACAGACTTTTCCCACTGACCTTTAACGTTGTCTTTGGCGTTCCTGGGTTGAGAAGTCTGGAAACTGCCACAGCTGCCCTCGATTCAATCCTCTGAGGCCTGCTCCAGGGTCTCTGTGGTCTCTGCGGCCTGCACGCCCACGCCAAACTACGCTCCTCTCCCAGCCTGGCACGATATACCTTTCCCATCAACCATTCAGGCTGTCTTGGACTGGAAATTTGTTTCACTCTGTCTTTTTGTGGGTTCTGCTGCTTTAGAATTTGTTTAGAGCCATTTTTTATAGGTATTTGGAGGGGTTTGGGAGAGAGCTTAAGCAAGTCACTGCTTTTACTCCTCCATCTTAGCTCCTCCCCAACAATCTTAAAATTTAAGAAGATAAATCCGAAGGCAGCAACAGTGTGAATAGAGGCAAGACTGGAGATGGAAAAACTAGAGAAGAGAAATCTAGTTAAGTGGGTATAGCAGAAATGCAGGAGAGAAGAACCTGAACTTGGAAAGATAGGGAGACGAATGGAAAAGGTCAGAAGAGATTTAAAACCGGAAGGAATCTTAAAGATCATCTACTCCAACTCCTCATTTTACAGATAAAAAACAAAACAAAAGAGAAAAGTAAAGTGACATACCCAAGATCACACAACTAATGTAAGTAAGGTTAGGAGATCATGTGCATCCAAAGATGAAGGAACCCAGAAAGGTTAAGACTTGCCCAAGATCACACAAGTGATAAGTGTTAGAGGTCAGCATTCAAACTCTGATGCTCTAACTTCAAATCTAAATCCCAAACTCTTTGCACTACACCTACCTTTCAAATTCAAGGGGTTTAAGATCAAACTGACCAACAAGAAAGATTGAACTAGCAGCTAGGTGGTGAAGTGGAGAGACTGCTGGGCCTGGAGTCAGGAAGACTCATCTTCCTGAGTTCAGATCTGGCCTCAGACACCTACTAGCTTTGGGACCCTGGGCAAGTCACTTAACTCTGTTTGCCTCAGTTTCCTCATCTGCAAAATGAGCTGGAGAAGGAAATGGCAAACCATTCCACTATCGTTGCCAAGAAAACCCCAAATGGGGTCTCAAAGAGTTGGACATGACTGGACAACAAGATTGAACTGGATTACTTTTCGGCTATGCGGAAGAGTGAGAAAGTTTAGTCAATTGGTTACGTTTTTCTAGGTGTCCTCACAAACATTACCTCAACCAGATTCTCACATTCACCAGATGGACTGGACAAGGGTTCTCCCGTATTTCACTGATGAGGATCATAAAATATAAGAATTCTTTCATTATCTCCCCTTTTGCCTGCCAGAATCAAATCCCATGAGCCATTCACTCCTTCCGTGTAGCTTTACCCTCTCTAAGTTTCTTTTTAATTGTTTGTTTTTAATGCATCTATTTCCAGAAGAGACAATAGAGCAAGCTTCTACAAACCACAGAGAGAGGACTGGTTTTGTGGGAAAGATGACTTTAAAGAGGCTAATGGTGCAATAGTTAAGTCAACCAATCAATCATCAAGCCATTTGTGAAGTCCCTGTGCTATGTTAAGCTCTAGAGATACAAAGATTTTTTTAAAAGAGAATCAATCCCTGCCTGCTGTCAGGAAGCTTACATTTTAGTGAGGGAGATTGGAGGAAGAAAGCACCTAAAAAGATAGTTACATACAAAGTAATGGGGAAGGGAGCATTGGTGGCTGGAGAGATTAGGAAAGGCTTCACTGTGTGAGTTGGAGTTTAAAGGAAAGTAGGGTTTATGAGAGGTGGAAGGAGACATAGGGACCCCATGCAATTGGAGCCCCTGGAGTTTATTGAGGTGGGGGAGTGGTGTGAGACATGGTCAGACCTGTGCTTTAAAAGGAAAGTCACTTTGGCAGTACAGCGGAAGATCCATTGGAGCAGGGAGAGACTTGTGTCAGGGAGACCGACCAGAAGGCCCAGGTGCAAAGGCACAGAGAGGATGATAGGAATGTCACATGTGAAGAACATTGAGACCAGTTTGGTTGGACTGTATAATAAAGCTGCAACTATTGCAATGGCCTTCTGGATGGTCTCCTTGCCTTGTCTTGTACTTATGTGGCTTTGTGTCTGATGATGCTTGAGAAGTCTAAGACTCAATTTTCTCATCTGAAAAATGGGGAGCAATGTCAGTTTTTCAACCTTATTGGTATTGCCCTGAGAACGAAATTGAGATGTTTATGTTGAAACTACTTTGAAAGCCTAAGAGTACTATACAACTCTGAAGGGTTATTCATGTCTTTCTTTCATTTGTTTACTATTTCTTAATCCTTCAGTCATTATCCTGCACATACAGGCACAACCCCCATAAACAGAAGGATTGGCCCAGATAAGGGATCATGAGACCTAAAACTTGAAGATCTACTCCAATAGAGATCTCCTCCAAACCCCTTATTCTACAGATGAGTAAACAATGGCCCAGAAAAACTAAGCAAATTACTCAAGGTCACACAGATAGAAAGCAGGATTGGCGGAGTCAGGATTTAAACCCAGTACCTCTGACTCCAAACCAGGATCTTGAGAACTGATGTATTGTCAGTCAACCAATAAGTGTTGATTAAATTCCTATTAGGGACCCCCAATTTTCTGTTGGTTACAGGTTATACCTTCATTGGGAGATATTGAGGCCATTATCATTAACCCAGTTAGATAGCGGATAGAGTGTTGGACCTGGAGTCAGAAAGACCTGTGTTCAAATCCTGCCTCACATAATTATTAGGTGTGTGACCCTGGGCAAATCATTGAATTTCTCTGAGTTTGAGTTTCCTCATGAGTAAAATGAGGATAATAATAGCACCTACCTTTCAAAAATGTAAAGGGCTTTGCAAATCTCAAAGTGCTATATAAATGCTACCTATTATTATTACTGTTAAATCTTGGACAAATCATATAATCTCTCTGGATCTCAATTTTCTTAGAGTTCTGCAGGTGTTTGTTGAATTGAACCTTTATAGGGTCAGCTAGGTGGTGCAGTGGATAGAGTGCTGGCCCTGAAATCTGGAGGACCTGAGTTCAAATCCAGTCTCAGACCAAACACTTGACACTTACAAGCTGTGTGACCCTACGCAAGTCACTTAACCCCAATTGCCTTGCCAAAAAAACAAAACAAAACACATTTCTGAATTGAACCTTTATAATGAGGGGTTAGAAGATCTCTTAGGCCCCTTTAGCCCTAAATCTTCTATGGATCCCGGAATCCTCAAGAGCCCTCTTTATTTCCATATCTCTGGGAAATGGAACCAAATAGAGCCTTCAGCTCACTAAACTCTCCTGGGTCAGGTTCATTCTACACCCTTCCTTAGTCACCCCTCTCCAATTCCACCCAAGTTATGGTCCTGTTCAGCAGGTCCAGATGTGACCTCAGGGCACCTGACCAAACTCTATAGCCCTCTCTAGGTTTCAGTTTCATCATCTATAAAATGAGGGGTTTGGACAAGATGATCCAAGGTCCTTTTGAGCTCTAAATGAATCTGTGATCGTATAACCCAGGAACTAAGAGTGATCCAATCTTCCAGGGCAAGCCTAGGTCATGTGCCTGAGATATTTTTCAGGGATGATCTATATGGGTTTCCTAGGACTACCCCAACCAGGCACTAAGTCCAAATGATTTAGAGTTGGAACCTTTGAAACACTAGTGAAATTTCTAGTGACCCCTAGGTCTCTCCTGATGCTACCACCACTGTCTCTGGAGAGGAGAGGACCAGGGTTTGTAAGGTTTACTCCTGTACACTGTACCCAAACTCTAAGAGTTCACTCACTCCTTAAGCTACTTGGGATGTTGGTAAAGGAATCATCTTTCACTTTGAGCCTAAACAATAAGGTGAAAAGGCTCCAGGTTACCTCAGAGTCCCAGTTTTGAGCGGCTGCCGTCCTTGGAGTTGGGGGTTGGGGGGGGAGGCAGGAAGGGAAAAGAAGGGGCCCCGCCCAACAGGTGAGGTCATGGGAAAGCAGCACTGGCGCTGACACCTGGGGAAACCCGTTCTCAGGCCAGCTTCCCACGTTTGCTCCCTGGGAACCAACTAAGCCCATCCCAGGAGCCCCACACCCCAGTTCCAACCACTGCTCCCAGGTGAAACAGGAAGGGATATTGAGAGGGCTGGAGGAGGGGCTAGAGAGCCAAGAGAAGATAGGAGTATTGGCTGTGACTTGGGGCACTGAACTTGGCTCCGTGTTTTAATATTCTCCCAATTTAGTGTAGTGGATAGACCTCTGGACTTGTTGTCAGAAAGACCTGGGTTCAAATCCTACCTTAGACATTTAACTGGCATATGAAGTCACTTAATTTCTCTGGGCCTCAATTTCCTCATCTATAAAATGAAAGGATTGAATTTGATGACTTTAAGTCCAACTCTATGCCTCCCATAAGGTCCCATGACATTATTTCAGCAAACTCGAGGCCCTACTTCTACCATTCTACTTCTAGGAGTCTATATATAGGCTCTGACCCTAGATAACCCCGTGGGTCCCCATTATATTCACACCCAAGCTACAGGACCCTGAGTACAAGTATGGAATAGAGCTGGTGAAGTTCAGGGAGTGTCGCATGTAGCCCCAGCCCAAGCCAGCACTGGGAAATGACAGACCAAAGCACCATTTTCAGACATTTGAGACATTTATTGGCAGACATTGCTCCACAGAGTCCCTTTGGCATTGCCCTATTAGGGACTGGACCCTCAATGAACAAGATTGGAGTGCAGTCTTCGAAGCCCTCTCCTCTGCTTCTCTCTATTGCAGCTGTGGCCCCTTCCCTCCAGGAACCCCCTTCTCCAAGATTCAGCCCTCACTCCCCGACTCCTGTCCAGCCAGTTTGGGCAGTACTAAGTAAGGATTGAGAGAGCTCTTCCCATCAGGGCCCCAGGCAGCCCCTCCCTCTCTGGCCTTAGACAGAGATGGGGCTGAGGACAGGCCCAGGGAGGAGCCCTTGATAGGTCCCTCCTATCTACCCTCAGCAACAGTCTTTTCCCTCCCCGCCCCATCCCAAAAGGTCAGGTTCCCAAAGATCTCTCTTCCATTGTAGAATCTCCCCCACGTTGCCATCTTCTCATTCTCTACCAGCCTGCTCTTCTCGGATCTCCTTCTCCTTACACTCCTACCATGTCCACCTTTGTCCCATCACTCCAGTTCCTTCCTTCCTGTCTCTTCTCCAAAGATCTTTCTTCCATTACAGAACCTTGCCCGAGGTTTCTTAGAGCCCTCTCCTATTGTAAACACTTCATTTTTTCAGCTAGCTGCCCTCTTGGATGAGTTCAGAGTGCTAAGATGTTCTGGCCAGGTTCTCCCTTCCTTGTGCCAGAATCTGTGAGCCACAAGGGACTCTGACATTTTCCTGGAAGGAACCCAAGCAAGGATTCTTCCTTGTTCAGAATTGTATTGGCTTGTGGGCCCATGATGGAAAACCCCACTGAATTAGGGCTATTGGCTATGTTAGTCACCTGAAGGAATAAGCTGCTTTCTCAAGGGTGGACTGGTCCTCAGAAGCAGACTCCAGGCACCTTCCCTCCTACAGGTCTTAGTCCCAAATAGGTAAAATAAAGTGAACAGTTAACAGCTCTCTGTTCCTACAATTACCAGGAAAGGTCCATACCACATGAAGGTGACCTAGGCTCTGCTCCTGCCAGCAGCTCCAAGGTCTCCCACAGCCCCAGGGTTCCAGGCATTTCTAGCCTCTTGCTCCCCCTCCCCACTGCAGGGGCTCAAACAAAGCAGAAGAATTTCTTCCATCTGCACCTGGAGAGTGTCCGGACACCCTTGGCATTGAGCTTCTTCTCTAGTCTGGCCTTGTGCTCGATGGCACTGAGAATCGCTGCATCAAACACCTCCTTCAAGTTCTTTTGAGTCAGAGCAGAGCATTCCAGGTACCCCCGGGCTCGGATCTTTTCAGCCAAGCCCTGAGCCTGGGGATGAGGCACAGGCGTTTCCTGACCCCCTTGGTCCAACTGGATCAGTACATTAACATCATCCCGCAAATCAGCCTGAGTGCCCACTAATAAAACAGGAGCTTGGGGGTTGTGGGTTCGAATCTCAGGCAGCCACTTCTCTGTGATGTTTTGGAAGGAGCCAGGTTGCACAACGCTGAAGCAGGCCAAGAAGACATCTGTGTCTGGGTAACAGAGGGATCTAAGGCGGTCAAAGTCCTCCTAGAGAAGGAAAAATATTAGATAGAATCAGCAAAAGGATGCTGGAGACAAGGTGAAGGGCTGGTTAGGAAATATTAACTCTTTCAACTGAGATTGGAGGGAGTTAACACTACCTCCTCCTTTGTGCTTTATGCTAAATATCATCCCTTTCTAGCCCATCTCTCACCAAGGAATTTAGGTAATAAAAGATTAATGAAGAGTTGATATGGGTACCTTCCTTACCTTGGCACAGAGGTGGTGGACTACAGGTGCAGAATGAGGCATACATTTTCAGACATAATCAATAAATGGGAGTTTAGTTTAGATATTTCTTTGTTCTATGGTGATAACTATTATTTCCCCCCTTCTCACTCCCACCCCCCTTTCCAGGTTGCTTTTATGAATTATTTTCCCCCATTAGAATGGAAGAGCCTACATTGCTTCAAGGTGTATTTCCAGCACTTAGTAAAGTGCCTAGTACTTAGTAAGCACTAAATAAATGCTTGTGGACTGACTGGGGGATGGGAGAGGAGTCAATGGAAAGTGAGAGTAAGATTTTTTTTTAGAGCATCAGTAAAATATTTTTAAAAGCTGATGGATGATGAGGCTGGGGACTCTCCTCCCTCCACCCCCCCTTCCAGAGTCCTGATGCCAAGCCAGGTGGTTCCCATTCTTCTTACCTGTCCAGCTGTGTCCCAGAGCTCAATCCGGACTGGGGCTCCATCCACCAAGACTTGTACTGCATTGAGAGAAATTCTCAGAACCATCAGGAAGTGGTTTCCTCCAAACCAACACTCCCTTCTCCATCCCTCGGCATCCCTGTTCTAGACCTCTGCCCCCAACACTACTGCAGGGTCCCTAGAATCAAAACATGTTTGAAATAGAAGGGACCTTAGGGCCCAGATGCTTCAGAAACTGAAGCCTGGAGAAATAGAATGAGAGAGTCTAGACTAGATGCATGGACTTTGGGTGCAGGGCTCTGCCACACAGCAGATCTATTTCCTTGGCACTGTGGGTGTCTCCTTGCCCTCCCAGACACCTCCATCCAGTGAGAGGAGAGGAGCCTATATAGCCAGTGAGTGGTCCTGGGCCTCTAGCTTGATCCAGTCCAGTCCCAGCCCCGCCCCACCCCCCACGCCCGGACCTAACAGTACCGGAGAAGGTGTCCAGCGCCGTGGGCCGATAGCAGGCGGGATACCCATTGCAGGTGTAGCTGACGATGAGGCTGCTCTTGCCCACCGCCCCGTCGCCCACCAGCACGCACTTGATGCCCAGCTCCGGGGGCGCGCTGCCCCGTCGCGGGGGAGGGGTCGGGGCCCGGACCGGAGGCGGCTCCGGCTCAGCCAGCTCCCGTGGAGGCATGGCCGGCTCCCCGGTATGGCAGGGGCGCCGGCTCTGGATGGGGGGCCTCAGTCCGCTAACCTCGAGTCCCCTCCTTTCAGACAGGCTCCGCTCTTGGATATCCTCACAGCTCTGAGATCTCCCTCTGGAAAAGCCGAGCTGACCCGGGCCTCCCTACCCTGGGTTCATTAGCATAGGTCCGCCTGCCTCCTTTGCATATTCTACCTGGCCGGACGCTGGCCCTGCCCACCGGTCCACCTCCTTCCCACCCCCTAGTGATTTCCCTACTGGAAAGAATCCAGGAAAGACACACACGGAAAAAATATTGACTGGCAGAAATTTACGTTACCCAGGCAAAGAAACACCCAGTAAGGAGACAAAGAGACAAGCATAAACAAAGAAACTGGGAGACACCCCAGGAGCAAAATATATATATATATATATATATATTAAAAAAAGAAAAAGAAAAAGAAAAAAAAACAGACACAGAGAGAAAGAAATGGGCAGGCCACCTTACTACAGAAATGCTGAACACAGAGAGGGAAAGCCACCGGCTGTCCTACCCTGCCAATTCATAGGATCACGGGATTTAGAATTGAAAGTTCTTCCCTTTTAATCTAGTTTTATCCTGCTCTTGACACCACCGAGCTCCTTTCTCTTCTCTTCTCATTTCCTGGAGAGGCCACGGCTCACCAGAAAAGAAGTTAACAAGCAGGGATTGTTTAATTTCTTTTCCCTGGTATTTCCCCCCCACCCCCGCCCAGGACAGTTCCTGGAGCATATGTGATAGGAACTTAATAAATGCATGTAGTTTGATTAAGAAGCATCGCTATTGAAAGATCCAAAGGAAGGTCTCCAGTGTGCTGGGTGATTCCTTCATGGCTCTTTATAAAAAGATAGGGGGAAGAATTGCATCAGAATAGAAAGGCTGGGAGGAGTTGCAATCTGCCTTCGTGAAGGGACGAGGATGAGATCATGGATCTATCAAAGCGGCTAAGCAATCTGTCCTGGGAATAGAACAAAGCAAACTGAATAGACATTGCTCTTGTCCTGGGAGGAGTTTATAATCTAAGACATTTTACCAAGAGCCCACAGAAAGATGGTACAATGGGACCTAACGGCAAGAGACTGGGATCCTCAATTCTGTTACTAGTTGGCTATACAATCTTGGGGAAATCCTTTAATCTCTGAGTCTCAATTTTCTCATCTACAAAATGGGGGTAATAATATTTTTACTACTTTAAATATTAGCACTCATCAGCAAGGTTGTCAGGAAAATGTTTTGTAAATTGTAAACTATTATTCTGAACCATCTTGGTATCAAAGGCACTAGGGTTCAAACCCACTTACCTGCACTAAGTCTGAAACTTCAGAGGCAAAGTTTCTTCCATCTGTAATAGCACTTTACAGGGTTGTGATGAAGGAAAAAAGAGATAAATGTGTGTAAAGGGCTTTGTGAACCTTAAAGCTCTATAAACATTAGTAATTATAATGAACTCTCCTTCACTTTTGGTGACCTTCCTTGTACTCTGGGTGAGAGGTTGTTTTAGTCTGTAAACTAGGATAGGGCAGGATCTATTTAATTTGCTTTAATGTGGTTTTCTCAGAGTCAGAGGCAAGACTCAAATTCTGATTCCAAATTCAGATTCTTTTCACTGCAACATAACCCCGCCTTCCTGAACAGGTCTAATCATTCAATCAACTTTGTATAATGACACTCAAGGGACAGCAGTTATCTAGAAGCTGGGAGTTCAGCATCTAATGGCTTGGGAAACTTTCAATTCAGCAATACTGTAAAACCTCCTTTACAAGTAATCATTCGTTCCTGAGCTATGTTAGACAAAGTAGCTGGCATTTAAGGAAGGAGTCCACATTAAGGAAAAGTACATGTTAAACAAGAAAGAGCATGGGAAGGGGTCAGGAAAAACTGGGTTCAAATCCCATCTCTGAAACATTTTGGCTCACATTGGGAGCTCCCTACATAAATGGAATTGTAGGTCTAGTCCAAAAATGACAAAACAACATATGGAGAGCATCTCAACAAAATGTGGCGGAAAGAATGGAAATCTGTACATGGAACGGAAGACCTGGGTTCCCATTTTGCTTCTGACACTAGCTGTGAGACAAATTACTTATTCTCTCTTAACCTAGTTTTATCTACTAAGTCATGGAGACAAGTTGAGGTCTGCATTGGTGACTCTCACACCAAGCCCAGATCTTATGAACGTATTATAGGAAAGGCACAAGTTTACTTCTCAAAGACCTTACAATCTAATAATCTATTAGTCTGTGACTCCAGTGGAAGATTGAAGACCACAAAAATTTTAGATGTTTTTTGAGGTAGAGGAAGTAGAGTTGGAAAATGAGCAGGAAAGGACTGCTAGGGGAAAAGATGAGCAAAATTTTGAACTCCTAAATCTGACTTTTTCCCCCATTGTTATTATGGGGAATAACTTTTTCAGTTAATCTGAAAAATATCAAATTTCCATTAAAGCCCTACTCCAACACCTTGTCACATTAGGGAAATGGACTTGGTTCTTAAAGGCTATACCAGACATGCATATGTCAGAAGATTCTATAAAGCTGGAAAATCTTAAATGAGTCAATTAATCCACAAGTATTTATTAAGTACCTACTATGTGCCGATGGATTTTAAAAAACCAACAAAGCAATTCTTGCCTTGAAAATGCATACATTCTATTATGAGATGCAATAGGTACATAAGTAAGCATAAGAAAGTGTAAACAGGATGCTGAGTGAAGTGAGCAGAACCAGGAGAACATTGTACACAGTAACAGCCACATTGTGTGATGACTAACTCTGATAGACCAAGCTCTTCTCAGCAATGCAAGGATCTAAGACATCTCCAAAAGACTCATGATGGAAAATGCTACGCATATCCAGAGAAGGAGCTATGGAGTCTGAATGCAGATTGAAGCATACTATTTGCTCTTTTTTTTTTCTTCTGTTTTGTTTTATTTCTTCTTTCTTTGTGGTTCCTCCCATTGGTTCTAATTTTTCTTTACAATATGATTAATGTGAAAATATGTTTAATAGGAATGCATATGTAGAGCCTATATCAGATTGCACACCATCTTGGGAGGGAGGCCAAGAGGGAGGAGGAAGAAAATTTAAAACTCAAAAGCTTATGGAAGTGAATATTGAAAACTAAAAATAAATTAATTAATTTTAAAAATTAAATTAAATTAAAAAAAGAAAGTATGAACATAATATATACAAAAATAATTCCAAAGTAAATTTTTTGGGATGGTACTAGCAACTTGGAGGATGAGGATTGTTGAACTGATTGTTGAAATACTTGGGTTATCAACCAACGACCAGGTTAGCTGTGTTTGGAGAGTCTCAACCTCAACAACTCTTGAAGACAGTCAACTAAGGCAAGTGAGGGTCATGAACTACAGCAGTGGAGTGAGTACGTACAAAGATGAAATGATGCATCTTTAAAGTAAGGGAAACAAGAGCTAGAAAATACTCTACTAGCTGATTTAAGAAGTATTGCCTTGATGGTTACAGAGACTGAATGATCTTCCTGGCTTCACTCACAAATCTCAACCAATCCTATTCTTTGAATCTTGAGGGCAGAGGTTCTTTACCTGAGTCCATGAAAGGGGTCAGTAAAATTTTTTTTTCTACTTTGACAACTGTATTTAAATATAATTTATTTCCTTTGTAGTCTTATGCATTTTATTTTGTACATTTAAATCATTCTGAGAAGAGATCCATAGGATTGTCAAAGGAATCTTTGACACAAAAAAGGTTTAAGAACCTCTGTTTCAAAATCATATTTTAGAGCTTTTTGTGACCCCAGATTACAAATAATCATGTGTGTGAGACCAATCTTTGTTTTAAAAAAAATATATATATATATACATACATTTATTGATTTTTTTGTCTTTATACCTCTCACATTTTCCCAATGGATCTATCATCCCTGTCCCTTCCAGAGAATCATCCCTTATAACAAAGAAAAAAGAGGAAAGAAAATAGTTTAGCAAAACCAACTAACATCAAAAAAAAAGTCTGATATATGCAGTGTTCCATATCCATAGATACCATCTCTCTCATCTTATATTTCCTCTTTGGGACTTGTTTGGTGTAATTTCAGAGCATCTAGGTCTGATTTTTGCTGTTCCATGTGAGGTTTTTGATTTTTTTAGTTCATCAAATTATAAAGAGGTTGGGTCCAAAATGTGTTCTGTATACTTGTCCTATGGAAAACAGACCCATCAGCAACCTGGTGGTAAAACACAAGGGTTGTAGTAATAAGGGTTTACTTGAAATTCTAACACATAGATTTGTAGTAGATCTAACCTACTCAATTCCTCCAACAGTACTTTTGAGAAATAATCATAACAATTTTTATGAGACCTGTGATTTTATTGGTATAGGGAGCTCCGATTCAGATATGACACCTCTGCAGTTTATTGTCTTAGAGAACTGACTAGAGCACTGAGAAGTTAAGTGACTTGTCCAGGTTCACACAACCCAAAATCAGAGGAGCTCTTGAACAGAGGTGTTCCTGACTCTAAGGTCAGCAATATATCTACCTGGTTTTGCTGCAACATCATCATCATCATCATCATCATGTAGTAGTAGTAGCAGTAGTAGTAGTTGTTGTTGTTGTTGTTGTAGTAGTAGTAGTAGTAGTAGTAGTAGTAGTAGTAGTAATAGGTTACTTTATAGTTGACAAAAATTTTTTTCCCAACCACCCTGTTGGATAGATTATGAAAGTATTATTGGCTCCATTCTACAGATGAGGAAACTGAGGGTTAGAGGAGTTAAGAGACTTGCCCCAAATCCTTGGGAAATAGTGGAGGAAGGAGAGAGAGAGAGAAAGAGAAGGAGGAAGAGGGGGGGGGAGGACCTCTGATTCATTTCACCAAATCATACTGCCAAAAGAAAGGTGGATAAAGGTCAAAGGTGGGAATTATCCAGGGGTAGAGTGGCTTATCTGTGGGAGGTCAGAAGGGAAAGGAGGTAGGGATTTGAGGAAAAAAGGAGTGCATAGTTGAAAAGGCTGACCAGAGAAGGTCTGATTGTGAAGGGAGGGATGTGAAGCTATTGGCTATGGAGAACATAGTAATCCATAGCAATCTGGGATATACACAGATACTCAATGTTAGTCTACCATATTTCACTGAATAACCA